TTGAGTTTTGATGCAAGGGATATTTGCTAGATCACTAACGCAGAGAGTATCAAGTGAAAGCAAAGGGTGATGATCAGAAACCAGAAACCAAAATATTTCATGGGATTGCTAATTCCTTAAGCATTCAGATACTTGCCTTATTAGCTCTGATTGAGGCCAACTAAAAGGTAATAACCAACGAGGATGAGCTATTCTGTGTATTGTACATGGCTTTAAAATGAAATATCTAGGATTAAATTCAATATGCCCCTTTAATTTGTATCATATTTCATTTTTAAATCGTTTTTCAACTGAAAGAATTTCAAAATGCTTTAGAAACTTTACAAATGCAGCAATCATATTATTTGATGCTGAAATGAAAATCTCTCCAAGGTGGAAAATGGGAGTTATTCAAGAGCAGACAGTATACATTACAATCAATTATATCTCAAATAACAAAATCTCTAGTGCACAACAAACTATTACAACTTCATAGGAATTCAGAATGTTGTACTTAATAAAACAATTATAATCTGTCACCCCATCCTCAAAATAAGCAGTACTGCCCTGGAGCTTACGTTATGGATTTCTTTGGTAAAAATTAAACCTACTGAAGTATAACTAAGAATTTTTAATTGTCATATTAATTTTACTCTATGGGATATGTAGTATGTTCCTAAATTCTAATGTGTTCATGTTAATTTTACAGAATGTCAATTAAAATCAATCTTCTGCAGAGGAAGTACATTAATATAGAATATTATATATAATTCTAATATAGAATAATTATATAGAATATTATAATATAGAATATTATATATAGAATATAATATAGAATATTATAATGTCTTAGGAAACAATAATTGTAAAAATTATTTAGATTATTAAGATAAACTGTGAAAATGAATACAGGAAGAGATTATTGTGTTTATAAAGATGCTGTGCTGTATATTGCTATGAAAAAAGTTCATTTTTATATTATTATGTATTGTCATTTGAGCACTAGTACTTTTTTGTTTACTTTTCTTAGAGACACAAATCAAATTCAGTTATAAATGACTGGTCTGTTTTGTTGAGTTCACAGTCACTGGTGACTAATCATTTGTAGAGATCAAGGATAAGATGAAATTAGAATTTCAAGGTGGTAACCTTGGGTAATGCCATGAGGATAAGTGAAGATGTGATTTTTGTGGTCAAAAGATTAAAGATTTGGCCTTATTTATGTGAAGTAGTTAAATGCCCATAAATGAAATTCTGGTTATCATAAGACACCACCATCAGGTCTAGAAATACAGATACACAGGGCCTCCAAAGAAGATAACGACAGGTGTGGCAGTTGATGAGTTCAACAAGGAAAGTCACTGAAAAAGATAAAGAAAAGAAAAAGAAAATGGAAAGACTAGGAATTTCAGTTCTAGGATGTAGATGAAGCCAGGCCTGGTGACATCTATAATATCAGCACTTTTGGAGGCTGAGTCAGGAAGATGGTAAGTTCAAGCCCAGCCTGGACTATTTATTTATTTATTTATTTTACCTTAAATTCTTTTATTGGTACATTTTAGGTATACAATACATTTACATTTATCATTGGGTGCTTGTACCTG